AACGCGAGAGGAGCGGCGACGCGCGTCGGCCGACGGGAGGGAGGGAGAGGAACGGCGGTGCGCTTGGGTCGGCGGCCAATGGTAGGGCGAGAGAGGAGCGGCGGCGCGCGGGGTCTGGCGAGGGGGAGCGGCGCGCGGCTGCCGGCGGGAAAGGGTTGGCGGTGCACACCAGTCGATGGGTGGGAGGGAGAGGAGCGGTGGCGCGCGTTGCGCCGGTGGAGAGGGTGGCCGATGGGAAGGCGGAAGAGGAGCGGTGGCTCACCGGCCTCTTCGCCCTTGTCGCTCTGCCCACCGCCCGCTGTCGCTCCATTTCGCCCCGCCGCTGCTCAGCTCCGCTTCCTCCCGCTGCCCACCGCCAGCCGCCCACCATCGCTCCGTCCACTGCCAGCCGCCGCGCCGCTTTGCTCCGTCGCCCCCTCGGTGCCGCCGCTCAACCTTCTCTCCTGGCAGTGTATAGGGGGGAGAGAGGGGGGATAGAGAGAAGAGGGAGGGTGACATGTGGGACCACATGGGCCCCACCTTTTTAAATTACTTTTTATGTAGCTGACATATGGGTCCCACTATTTTTATTATTTTTTGGAGATAAAATTGCCACGTAAACGCCACGTCATTGCCACGTGGAACGAAGAACTAGTGAAAGGAACCACGTAGGCGCCATGTAGATGCCACGTCGGCAAAAACCACCCTCCATACTGCCGAGGGACCTCGTTTGCCCGGTTTCACAAGTTGGGGGATGGGTCGTACCGGTTTCGTGGTGAAGGGACGAAAATCGGACTGACCGACAAATAGAGGGACCTAAAGTGAACTTATACCACATAGGCCGGAAGATAGTTGGCCCAACATTGTCGAGTACAGAAATGGGCTTCGATTCTCAAATGAGCCCATTCAAAAAGGAAGCATAGACGTATGACGTATGCGACCGGGTCTCTCTCCAGTCTCCACTGATGTCTCTCTTAACTCGATCGAGCAAATGCCGCCGCCGCGTACGTTCGACGGCGTTCAGGTCGTCGTCGTCGCCCGTTAGCAACCTGTTCCTCCTCGAGCATGAGCGCGGCGGCGGCGGCGGCGGCGGCAGCTTCTCTCCCCGGTCTCGCTTTCTAGACCTAGGTACAGTGCAACGGCACCTAGCGCATCCGCCGTCCGATCGGTTCCGCGATTCATGCGTCGTGTTGTATTTTGTACTAGCAGTGAGAGTAGAGATGGTACCGGTGAATTCACCGTCGGGGGTCACCTCGGCGTCCCCGTCACCGCGGTGATAAAATTTCACCGTCCCCGCCTCCGTCAACCACAATGGGGCTATATTTTCACCAGTCCCGATCACCACGCGGTGAATTTTTTCCCGTGGTTACTCCGTCCCCGGTTAAAGAAACACATCAAATCAGTGCTTGAGCAATTAAACACAAATCGGCGACGGCGGCTCCCGATGGCGCAGCGACGGCAGCTCCCGGCGGCGCGGCGACGGCTGCAAGCGCCGGGCGGCGCGACACCGGCTGCTCCCGGCGATGCTCTCGGCGGCGCGTCGACCGAGGGGGAGGGACAGCGGCGGCGCGCACGAGAGGAGGCGGCGGCGCGCACGGTGACTGGCCGGGCAGCGCGACGCCGGCTGCTCCCGGTGACGCTCCCGGCGGCGCGTCGACGGATTGGGAGGGACAGCGGCGGCGCGCGCGAGAGGAGGCGCGGCGCGCCGCGCACCTGGTGGTGGTGGCTGTGCGGGCGACCGCGCGTGGCAGCGTTGCTGCAGTGGAGAGCCGCCGGAGGAGAGGGTGAGAGACGCTCGGTCTGGAGGAGTTTGACCAAAACTAGGATTAGCTTTTTATATATACTTGTTAATTGGGCTCTAGTATTTTGGGCCAAAAACGTCTAAAAAGTCTAGATTTAGTCCTCTACACAGTAAAAATCGGGTCACCGCGGGGGGCGGGGACGGTGAATGGTGCACCGTCCCCGCCCCCGTCATCCCCGATGGTGATAACTTTGGAACAATTTCATTCACCATGGTGGATAGATATTAACCATCCCCGTCACCTAATAGGTGAATTCACCGCGGGTGAAACGGTGAACGGGCCCCATTGCCATCTCTGAGTGAGAAGCGGGGGTGTCAGCAACGCGGATTGCGGGCAAGGTTGTCAGTATCCTGATTCGTATCCTAGTATCTTACGATAATACGATCCTACCAAGCCGAAATGATACCGATCCCACTTAGTATCCTAATTTTCATAGTATCTCGATCCTACTATTCATTACTACACCATCCTATAAAATCGAAATCTTAAGTGATATCCCGATTCTACGATCCCTATGATACTACAAAATATTATTTAAAATAACATGGTTTGAAAATAATGTAAATAAATATGCTCAAATTTATATGAAAATCAGTTAAATATATCAAAACCAACATAGTTTCTCTTGATAAATGTCTCTATTTGCATGACATATATCATTACTATATTTTTTTATATAGAATGGCTATATATAATTAATATAAATATTAATTAAACTTAAAAAAAGAAAATCTCATAGTATCCCGATACTACGATACGATCCTACGATACGATATTACTTTGAGCAAAACGATACTACCTAGTATCCCGATCCTAATAACCTTGATTGCAGGTACATGTACAACCTCAGTTCCAAAAATATAGCTATTTTTTACACGGTATCTTGTTCTAAATAAAAGTTATTTCTCCACCGACCTTCTTCTGTCAACCAATTACAACTATTATATTTTATCAATTTTATATTCTCAACCAATCACATATTTTTTTTAATTATTCTTATCTACTTTCTTAATACTTATATCAACCTTAAAAATTACTTACACTTTGGTACGGAGGAAGCAAGGGCTAGCTCTCTGGCGTCGTGACATCGCCTTCAGCTTCGTGCCCTGCGTCGCGTTGACCATGCAGTGGACGAAGTGATCAAGAACTAGCCAGCCGGGCGGGCGGGCGGCACATCATCCGGCCCGGCGCCGGCGGTCTCTGGCCATCCATGTCGCCACCTGAGTAGCACCACAAAGTTCTCTAAGTTCAAATTTTTATAGGAGCGAATTTCGGATCAGTTATTTAAGGGCTTAGACTGTGTTCGTTTCATTAGAATGGGAATTAATTCCTTCCTCACAGAAAATAGAGCGGTCCATTAGCACGTGATTAATTAAGTATTAGCTTTTTTTAAAAAAAATGGATCAATATAATTTTTTAAACAACTTTCGTATAGAATTTTTTTTTCAGAAAACGCACCGTTTAACAGTTTAAAAAGCGTGCGCGTGAAAAATGAGAGGGGAAGTTAGGAACCCTGGAAACGAACGTAGCCTTAGTTCTCTGTTTAATAGGCAAAATTTATAGTTGGATGTAGAGGTCGGGTTTTTTTAAAAAAAATTGTCGCCACTAGGTCAATTTTCCCATTTTATTTTCCTATTCGCCTCTTCTGGTCACACAAAGACCCCACCCCACCACACGCAAAGAAAAGGCAACCATTGTTCCACGTTAATGAGTTATTGTTGGGTCTAATTTTTTGGGCCTCTTTGCATGCGCGTCCTTTGGATACAAAACTGGAAATAGTTCAGTTTACACACCCCTTATAACTATGAATTGAGTAGAGTTCCATCCACCACTACTAGAAAAATCACTTTTGCATGCGGCCAAAAGCAATTTTTACGGGCGGAGGGAAGGACCGCCTGCAGACCAACGACGGTGAAAATCATCCAGCCCGCTTGTAAAAATCCAATAAAAAACAAAAAAATCGCCTCACTACCGCCGGCGCTGCCCTCTGGCCATCTCTGGGAGACCGCCTCTCCCAGGCCGGGCCCGCTTAAATCTGGTAGCTTTCATAGGTCATAGACTGCCCTCCCACCTCTCCCAGGCCGGGCCCGCTTAAATCTGGTAGCTTTCATAGGTCATAGACTGCCCTCACATACCAACAAAAGTCTTTTCTACACACTTTGTTGTCCTCACTCGTGCGCACCGAGGCCGGGCTCGCTTACATCTGGTAGCTTTCATAGGTCATAGACTGCCCTCACACACTTTGTTGTCCTCACTCGTGCGCACCGAGGCCGGGCTCGCTTACATCTGGTAGCTTTCATAGGTCATAGACTGCCCTCACAGACCAACACAAGTCTTTTCTGCACACTTTGTCCTCACTCGTGCGCATCGAGGCCGGGCCCGCTTATATCTGGTAGCTTTCATAGGTCATAGACTTTTCTACACACTTTGTCCTCACTCGTGCGCACCCTGACATTCTTTCCGGTCAGTCACCCATCCCAAATTGCTTCAGGCCAAGCACGCTTAACCCTGGAGTTCTTTAGAGATTGGTTTCCGGAAAAGAAGTTGTAACTTGTGGCTTAATAGGATTAATAGAACGTGAAGGGCCCATGGCTCGTCCGTACTGTCGCCTTCTAAAGCCACGAAAGACAAAATCACCACCCCAACTGCTAAGGGACTAAATTTTGATAGTAAGGGATACTCTATACTCGGTTGGTTTTGCAATCGAGGGATGAGTACAGTGGACTTTTATGGCCTACATTAATTAAAGAGTCCATTTTTCTTTGGAATTAGTCTATTTTGTCCCTCTTATCTCTTGTCTTTGGACAATTTGTATCCCTCAGCTATAAAACCGGGTATAACATCTCCTCCAACTTTAAAAACTATTACAAATTAACTCTTTATGTGGTATGGAAAGCGCTTTCTACTGACGTGACAAGTCGATTTGGTCCAAGTGTCGTGACGTCCCTACGAAGAGGTTAGAAGCGTTTTCAAGATGATTCTTTCTTTGTCGAGACGAAAAAGTCTTTTCAGTTGAAAAATGTGAGTATGTTTTGCCCACTTTATCCCCCATCCCCCTATATCAAAATGATGAAAAAAGGAATTTAAAATGATCTTATCCATCATTGCCCTGCTTCCAAATTGGCAGAGACCCCTGTGGAGAATGAAGAGGAGTCAAGGATCTTACTCTCAAGAGTACTTTGATAGGCTCCACTCTCAAAGAATAAGTTAGGCCTGTGCTCACAAGAAATCTCGGAGCCACCCATTAATCGTAATGAACTCTATGCAAAGTTTTCCTCTGTGATATGAGTTACCACCCCCTTGGTCACTTATAGTACCCTAAACATCCAACTGCATTTTCCAACTAAAATGGAAAATGACTACCGAAATGAAATTGTACATCTAGAATAGACCTAAGAAAACATGATCCCAGGCGGATACTTAACATGTTCCCCCTCGCCCAGGCCCATCGCAAGGGAACCGAAACCAAGATTTGCTTTATCGGGTATCAAACGGGCCGGAACTGTGAGCAAATATAATACCTTTAAAAAGTATTACTACAACCACATAGATTGTAAATGTATAAATGCGATGTACTACTTTCTTTCCTCTTCCTACTACATGCACGGCTATAATCGTTATATATTCTCTTCTTTTCTTTACTCTTCGTTTTGCATCTCTTTTCTTCTATTGTGAGGGTAGCCTAGTCATCAAAGGAATTGAAAATATAAGTGTGTCCCACATGTAAGTGACAAATTAAAAAAAATTAAAAAAAGGTGAGGTCCACATGTTAGTGACAATTCTCCTTCTCTTCTTCGTCCATTCTATTTTTTCTCTCCCAGCCACCACCGCCGTGCATGGGCGGAGGGCGGGGGTCTCGTGTCATGGCGATGAAATCCACGGCGGAGCCGTGCTGAAGAGAGGACCAATGTGGTGGAGAGGCAGTGGTGGTGGCGGTGGCCGGATAAGAGGAGAGGAGGCAAAGAGGTCCTCAACGGCGCAACAGCAAATGCTTGCTGATCGACGACGCTGGGGCCTGGGGGAGAAGCGAGAGGGGTTAGGCGGAGAGGTCAAGGTGGGACCGTGGGGTAGGTGTACAAATGAAGAGTACAAAATTAAGACTACAAACGAATTAGAAAATTATAGAAAAAAAGTGTAAGGGCTGATCACAAAACCCATATTGAAAGCTATATACATGCACAGTAAAGAGTTGCATCATACTACATTCGTCCTAAAATATAAAAATCTATGATATTTTCTATAACTACGAATCTGTATAGGTTATCTGTCCAGATCCATAAATCTATGATATTTTCTATAATTACGAATCTAGATAAATTATATGTCTAGATTCGTAGTATAAGAAAATCTCCCATCCGATTTAGATTATTATATTTCGGAACAGATGGAGTATATGCGTAGCTAGCTCTATCCTACTCCATCGGTCCCAAAATATAAGCACTTTCAAAATAGTGTCGAATCAAACATTTTTTTACTTTGGCTATTAATAGCAAATAAAAAAGAAAAACATCAATCATGTAAAATTGATGTTATTAGATTTATCATTCAACAAACTATCATAATATGTAATGTAACTCTTTTCATTTAAAATATCTTACTTTTATAGATACTGTAAGTCAAAATAGCATCTCGAAAACTGTGCGGCCTTGTTTAGTTCGGGAAAATTTTTGGGTTTGGTTATCACATCGAATATACGGACACACATTTGAAGTATTAAACGTACTCTAATAACAAAACAAATTATAGACCCACCAAGGAACTACGAGTTAAAATATTAAGCCTAATTAATCTGTCGTTAACAAATGTTTATTGTAATACCACATTGTTAAAACATGGCGCGATTAGGCTTAAAGATTCGTCTCGCAATTTACACATAATCTGTGTAATTGGTTTTTTTCTACATTTAATATTTTATTCATGTATCCAAATATTCGATATGATAGTGTGAAAAATTTTATTTTAAAAGCTAAACTGGGCCTATATTGAAATTCAAAAATGTTTATACGTTCGGACGAAGGGTGTATATGTCATAGTAGTAACTTTTTCACAAGATGACACTGTGTGTTTGGCCTCATCTTTTACTCCAGTACCCGTAGTTCTGTACAGTAATAAAGAACTACTGTAGTAGTATCACCCAGCACTCAACACAGTGCATTCATTTTCTTCTGGGTGGAGTTTGAGCCTGCTGACATGGTATACTACGTACTCCCTCCGTGAAAAAAAAGTTAAACTCTGAGTTTTAATGTCTATCTTTGACTATCCGTTTTATATGATTTTTTTATATAATTTATATTTTTATTATTGTTAGATGATAAAACATGATTAATATTTTATACGTGACTTGTCTTTTTAATTTTTTTCATAATTTTTTTAAATAAAACGGACGGTCAAACATTGGACACGGAAACCAGGGTTTGTTTTTTTGAATGGAGGGAGTATAGGAGTAGACTGTAGCTGCGTCGTCAAGACCCAAGAGCACAGTTGCACATGACTCTGTGAGATTCTTCCAGGGATGAGATAACCCCTTTTCCTCGGTTTTTGAACATCACAAAACGACAAGATTCCTTGGTCGCTGCAAGAGAGTACGTAGTGGAATTCGTGATAGTGCTGTTCAGTGGTTAAACCCTAAAGCAAGGCCCATAGTGTCTGTTTTCGATAAGCTTTTCTAGATGATAATGGAAAATTCCATAAGTAAATCGTCTTTGAATACTGTATGATTCAACTTGTTTTTTTTTTTTGATTTTCAGTATCTGTTTGGATGTGACAACTTACACTAGGATTTTGATTTTCAGGCTAAACTTTTTTTTCTTAAGGACTTTTGACATTAATTATTCCATCTGAAATTCATGGGTTCAAGTTCAATGTACTAACTTGGAAGATCTAAGATAGTGTTCCAAACGATGTAGGTTATTAGCTTATGATCAATTAAGTACTGGAGTAACTACTATAAACTTTAAATATATTTACTTGAAAAATGCATGAAAGAATCGAGAGGCAGTCCGACGGTCCGACCCTAGGAACACCTTGCAAAACCCTTCGTCCCTTTCTAGCTTCTTGTGCTTACAGGAAGGAAGCGAAGAAGGTATCAGGAGAAGATTAGGAGAAATGAGATAATTAAATTTAAGAATCCTCCTGATCTGATTTTACGTGATGGTCTTTTAACGTGTTTTAGTTTTGAGTACGGCTTTCCAAATTTTTTTTCCCAAAAACGTAACATCGAATCTTTGGACATATACATGGATAAAAGAAAAAACTAATTGCACAGTTTGCATGGAAATCAGGAGAAGATTAGGAGAAATGAGATAATTAAATTTAAGAATCCTCCTGATCTGATTTTACGTGATGGTCTTTTAACGTGTTTTAGTTTTGAGCACGGCTTTCTAATTTTTTTTCCCAAAAACGTAACATCGAATCTTTGGACATATACATGGATAAAAGGAAAAACTAATTGCACAGTTTGCATGAAAATCGCGAGACGAATCTTTTGAGCCTAATTAATCCATGATTAGCCATAAGAGCTACAGTAACCCACATGTACTAATGATAAATTAATTAAGCTTAATAAATTCGTATCGTGGTTTCTAAGTGGGTTATGAAATTAGTTTTTTCATTCGTGTCCAAAAACCCCTTCCGATATCTGGTCAAACATCCAATGTGACATCCAAAAATTTTCTTTTCGCGAGCTAAACAGGGCCTACGTTGCAATATCAACTATGGCTGTGTTTAGTAGTTTAGGTGTAAAAATTTTTGCGTATACGGACACACATTTGAAGTATTAAACGTAGTCTAATAACAAAACAAATTACAGATTTCGCATATAAACTGTGAGACGAATCTATTAACCTAATTAATCCGTCATTAGCAAATGTTTACTGTAGCACTACATTGTTAAATCATAGCGTAATTAGGCTCAAAAGATTCATCTTGCAATTTACATGAAAACTGTGCAATTATTTTTTTTCCGTCCACATTTAATGCTCCATGTATGTGTCTAAACATTTGATGTGACGGATTTGTTGAAAGTTTAAAGGGAACTAAACACAGCCTTAGGCCCTGTTTAGTTTCCAAAAACATCACATCGAATTTTTGAACGCATACATAGAGTATTAAATATAGATAAATTAAAAAAATAATTGTACACTTAGGAGGGAAATCGCGAGACGAATCTTTTGAGTCTAATTAGTTCATGATTAGCCATAAGTGTTATAGTAACCCACATTTGCTAATGACAGATTAATTAGGCTCAAAAGATTCATCTCGCGATTTCCAGACGAGTTATAAAATTAGTTTTTTCATTCGTGTCCGAAAAACTATTCTGATATCCGGTCAAACGTTCGATGTGACACCCAAATAATTTCTTTTCACGAACTAAACAGGCCATTACAATTGAATTTCACATTTTGTTAGCCTACCGGCCTATAGATGAGTGCTCCCTCCCTCCGGCCTATAAATGAGGAGATGTAACCCTTCTTAAAACAAACAATATGGACTTACAGGAGAGTCATATCCCTTTCCCTCCTGGGTTGAGTTTTTTTATGGAGGAAAGTTATAATTAATATATGATCGTTTGTCTTATTTAAAATTATTTTATAATTAATATTTTTATTACTATTAAATGATTAAACATAATTAGTAGTTATATGTGTTATTAATTTTTTAAAATAATTTTTATATAAGATGAACGATCAAAACATTGGATTTATGTTTTCTTTAGTTAGGGAAAAGAGAAAGGTCTCTTTTTGCTCAGCAAAGTGATGATGAGCTGATGCCAACTGACCTGAGGCCATTTACAATGCGGTGAGGTGGCGTTCAGCCTCACTGCGCCAGCGCATAGATTCCTTGCCACGTTAGCTTCTGGCACACTTTTCTCAAGTCCGCGCGTCCAACTTTGGTCACGTGTTCCTCGGCCAAATCCAGGGCGAGCGGCGTGAGGAACGGGCACTTGCGCGCATTGTGGAGGTCGTGACCTCGTTTCGTCGTTCTCCCGCGCTCGCGTCGTCGTCGAGTTCATCCTGCCCCGCGTCGTCGTCGAGTTCATCCTGCCCCGCGTCGTCGTTGAGTTCATCCCACAGGAGAGAAGGGAATCCGGCCTCTGCAGATTCAATCACCAAATACTCCTTCAGTTTCGTCATCACCAAGACGAACAGAAGAAGAGAGAAGCGAGCAGAAGAAGGAAAAAAAAGGAGCAAACATATATGCGAGAAACAGAATATTTGAGAAAGAAGAGAAGAATACCTTCGTTGGAGGCCATGGACGACACTAACTAAACGGGAGGAGCAATTGCTGCCGATGCTTTCTTGCATTGAAGTCGACCAACCGTTGAAGCAGAGAAGAAGCAAACCAAACCAACTCCCGGCGCCGCCTCTCTGCCCGGGCTGGATCTAGCCGCCTGCCGCCGCCGTCTCGTCAGCAAGCGCTGCCCGGAAGGAGAGAGAGAGAGAGACGCGCCCGTGCCATGGGGAGGCCGAAGGGCGGCGCCGCGGCGTCCTCCTCGTCGAAGAAGCCCAAGGCGAAGCCGAAGCAGCGCGGCGGCGCCGCCGCCGCTTCGGGGGAGGAGAGGGTGGCTGCCTCGGCACCGTCGCCACCCGCGCCGCCGTCTCCGCCGCGTCGCCGCTGGCGCGCTCCGCTGAGCCCGCCTCGGGGTCGTCCGCCGCTAGCGCCCTTCGCCGAGATCGCCTCAGGGTCGTCCGCCTCCGGCTCCCGCGCCGTGTCGCCGCCGGCGGGCCGCCAGATCCGGAGGGGGAGAGGGGCGACGGCGGTGTGTGGGAGGCGCCGGCGGCGCACTAGACGGAGCAGTTTTGTGGCCTGGTTGGGGAAGGCAGGGAGAGAGAGGAGAGGAGGTAAAAAGTGAGGAGAGAGAAGGGTGGGACCCACTGTGAAGGAAAAAGAAGACCACATGCACTGTGGAGGTTGTCGCTTGTAAAGTTCTTAGTAGGTGGCAGTGTTGCCCCTCAAAAATTGGTGACGCACTGTAAGTGCCCTCACGAGTAGTAGACGCGTGGGTGTTGTACTAGCTGTAGGCTATAGCTACTACTACTAGCCCCATGGGAGTAGGAGTAGGAATAGGAGTAGCAGCAGTAAATACTCGCACCAGTCACTTTTTCATCTCGCTTTTACTGTTGCATCACTTTTACCACGTCCTGACCCTTTTGCAACATAGTACCCCTGATTGGGATTTTCACCTTTTTCATCCTTTTAGAAAACTTATTATACAAATAGACCCTTAAAAAACTTAGGGCCCCTTTAATTTGGAGAAAAAACATAGGAATTTTGAAAATTTTCAATCCTATAGAAAAATTCCTATGAGTGCATTTGAATCAAAAGATTGAATTTTATCCGATTCTTTGAAACTCCTATTGTATGGACAATTCTACAGAGATTTTGGAGAAAACTTAGCAAGAGTTCAAAGCTCTTAGAAATTTTCCTTTGAGTATATCTCTCTATTTTGTTTCATATTTTTTCCTACTGTTCAATCAAACAGTCATTTCTATGTTTTTCATGTGTTTTACAATTCTCTATTTTACACTTCAATTCCTATTAGAATCTTGTGTTTTTTCTATTCCTTTATTTTTTCATTCCCGCGATTCAAATGGGCCCTTATTCTAATAATGGATCCTTTTCGCAGGGCCAATGTTATTGGCGCCGTGGTTCAACATGATATCGTCAATAACGTTAGCGTCATCTCCTTCGCCCATCGTGGAAGACAAGTAACTAATGTGAAGAGGGACTATTTATAGAATAACTTTAGTCACTAATGCAAAAACTAACGGTGTGTTTAGTTCGTGAAAAGAAAATTTTTTGGTGTCACATCGGACATTTGACCAGATGTCGGAAGAGGTTTTAGGGCACGAATGAAAAAACTAATTTCATAACTTGCCTGGAAACCGCGAGATGAATTTATTAAGACTAATTAATCTGTCATTAGCACATGTGATTACTGTAGCACTTATGGCTAATCATGGACTAATTAGGCTCAAAAGATTCGTCTCTCGATTTCCATGCAAACTGTGCAATTATTTTTTATTTATATTTAATGCTCTATGCATGAGTCCAAAGATTCGATGTGACGTTTTTGGGCAAAATTTTTTTGAACTAGACAAGACCTAAGTCATGTTAGACCACATCGTCAATAACGTTAGCGAAGCGAAAAAGATAACACTCCTAAAATAAGTTTTTTAGGGTCTATTTATAGAATAATATTTTTCAAAAGGATCCAACTGTGAAAAATTCCAGCTACTCCTGCAGCTGCAGTGCAGAACCAATGAATGGGAGTTGGGAGAGGGTCACAGGGGGGAGGCAGGCGCTCACATACATAAAGATGAGTAGAATCCTTTTGAAAACCTCAGCTTCTTTCTCCTCGCTGTGGCTCACGGAGCAGCGGAGGTCCGGAGCAAGCGAGGCTCGTACTGGTAGGAGTAATCTACCATAATGTCTTCTAGTCTAGTAGTAGTTCTACTTAACTACACACATATCACTCTCTGATCACAATATAATGTGTTGATCCACACGCACCGATCGACACAAACTGATCTAATACTAGTATAGTGTTTTTGTTTGTTGTTTTGTTCAGAGACCAACAACACAAGTTGTCGATCGTCGCCAGGAGCAAGCAGGCGGTGGATCGAGAGAGGCAGGCAGGCAGCAGCAGCGAATCGGATCGGAGAGGACGTTCGATCGCCATGGCAGCACACACAGTGAGTTTGCATACATAGGATGTATAGTGTTGTAGTATTTCTTAGCTAGCTAACTCCAGATGTGATGTTGGATTTCTCTCTCCATCGGAAACTCACTTGCTAGCTAGAGTAGCATTTTAATTGTTTTCTCTGTCTTTCCTATGTGTGATGCAATACTATTCATTCATTCATTCGTTCATGCTCTCTAGTACGAAATCATACAGTATGTATGTATGTATGATCGATCTTGGGCTTTTCTTTCTTTCGTTCGTTCTTTCTTTCTGTGACTGGGTTTTGTGATTTTCATTTCATTATTACTAGCAAGTAGAGAGTCGTGCATTCGCACCACTATATTCTCTCACATGTTAAATGTTAAGTTCTTAATGAACAAAGTTTATAGGAAGTGCAGTTACAGTTTTTTTCTGTAATAAACAATATTTTCGTGAAAAAATAATTAACATGCCTAGCGTGTAAAATTTATCGTAAATATTTATATTAGCATATGTTCTCAACTCTATATATATTATTAGCATGTATTATATTTTAATTATTAATTAGTCCAAGTAATTTTTAACATTTATTTTAAAGCTTTAATTTCTGAACATTTGAAGAACCTTGTTCTGTACCGTTGAAACCACGCTTCAAAAAGCATTAGTTTCTTTTAATATTTTTTCGATCTTAACTCTAGATTTTGTTTATGTATTCCCTTTTCTAATCGGAGGTACACATCGTGTTTTTATTACTCCATGTTTTCTTCCAATCCTTCCATTGGAAGTGTCATGAATCTTCTCCTGCCCTCTACATTTCTAACTGTCCTTTCCAAATCCATTTAGAGTGATTTTAGTTTTCCTTTCATCACAGATTATTTTCCAGCACTTTCTTTTTACAACCATTACCAACATAGATATATTATCATAAATTATTTTTGTTTTCTTAGTTCATTTTTCTATGGTTTACCAGTATTAGCTCAAACGATTAATAATATATCCTGATTAGTGGGTTTATTTTGCAATATACACTTGTTAACTTTGAGGAAAAAAAAAGTGATGGATATTTCTATAAAATAGATAGTTTCATGTGTGAGTAATAGAATAGATAGTTCCACATGTGAGTAACATAATAGTAGAAACCATATGTCCTAAAATAACTGTATCTTAGAATGTCGATTTCTATTCGTCATTTTGCATTAAAATTGCACGGAAAAAACTTTGGACTACCTTTTTAATTTATGCAAATATTCCCAACGATCCTAGCACTTTTCTGTAACTAATCATTTCTATAAATCTAGTTTTCCTGTTTATCGTTTTCATTTAGTTATATGTATTGCTTACTTTTTTTTATTATACACATATTGTACTGTATTTATCCAAAAAAGAATCAGTGATTGTAATGTAATCCTTGCTACGATTTGTTTTTGCATTTAAACATATGATATTATCATCATGATGTTACTTTGTTCGATTTTCATCTAACATTTAGCCGATTCTTTTCATTATGAAAGGTTCAAACTCATATTTTTTTCCATCTTCTCTATCTTGCCTTTTTAATTACTTCATTTTCTTTCTTTTTCTATATTAAAATGCATGACAAATTCTCTTTGGAAGTCTCTAGAATCTAGCTATAATGTTTAAAGTTTGGAAGCCTATGGAATATAGATAGAATGTTTAAAGCTTGTTTTTCTTGGAATTTTTTTTATCATATGTTCTCCTAATTTATCTTAAATTTTAGCCATGCCAAGTGGCCCAATCATCTTGCATCTTCCATGCCAGCTTTAGAAGGATAGACGTGGCTCAATTGAAAAGCGAATAAACATTCTACGTTCATTATATATGTATATATATATATATATATATATATATATATATATGTATGTATACATATATATATGTATATATATACATATGTACGTACATATATATACATATACATATACATATATATATATGTGGATATACTATACTACAGATGGGGTGCGTTGTATTACAACACAACCCACCCCACCCCACCCCTCACGCCCGTCCCCCCTCCCACCCCCACCCCAACCCCGTCGCACCCACCCACCTACCTGTCCCCCACAATTGGAGTAATTGTTTTACTGCTCGAACAAACGACCGTATGTATGTGAATCATATGTGATAGTAATACGGTTACTAAAGAAAAACACGTATTAGATATGTTGGTCCAAGACCCATCCAACAGAAACGAACCACCACCCATTCAGTTTTCCCCATTTTTCGGATCTGGAGAGAGGTGATGGGCTGATGGCTGCGGTGCTCAGGGGAGCAGTTGATTGGCCACGATGGCGGCTTGGTGGAGCCGCTCAGCGACGGCAGCAACGGCAGCCCCGGCTTGGAGCGGCGGCGGCCCTGGCTAGAAACGTCAAGGCGGTGGCCCTGGTTCGAAGGAGCAGCTCAGCGGCGGAGGCGGCCGCCAACTTCGTGGCTTGAGCCGGAGGCGAGGTTCCGCGCGATTCGATTCGATTTGATTTTCTTTTGTGTGTGTTCATTGACGGTAACAATGACGGTAGCGTTTTCTTGCAGCGGCGTCAATGGAAGCCAGCTCCACGATGACGGGTGACCGCTGTTCTCCGCCCACGGTCTCCACCGGGATCCCTTCAGACGCCACCACCCTCCTCGCCAACCCTTGCCGACCTACTCCACCCAAGCCACCGTGACGCCGCTCCACCGGCTTCACTGGCGTTCAGCTCTCCACCGCCGGCCCCGTCACTCTGCGACCCCCTCGCCATCTTCGACACGGTGGCCGCCTCCCGCTCCTTAGGATCCCCGAGTCACCACCGCCCTTGATGTCCGCCTTGGCCATGGACCATTGAGGAGGACCGAATTCTGCATTGGTCATTTGTCTTTGTTTTAATCTTTCACATGCTCATTGTTTTTCAGGGATGAATACAATGGATCATTGTGGTAGGCCTGCTCCTAGACTGTTGTCTTCATGATGCATTCAACACCTCGTTCCTTGCTCCGATCTTAATTTTAACTTTAGTACTGAATTCGTCTATGCAACGTTCAGGAAATTGGAACAAGACCAGGTGAGCTTCTGTGTACCATTATTAGATTGAGGCCCTAATGATTGCGAGTGGTGGTGGTCATATACAATTTCTTTTTTGGATTGCTACTTATAGTCCTGCGGCCTGGATGTTGTTTTTGCGATGCATTAATCACCTAATTTTCATACTCATATGAATTTTTATGTGGCCAGACATGAATTTGTGTGTGCAGTATTGTTAGAAATCTGCTCACATCTAAATTTTCATTTGTTCAGTTATCAGGAGTTGGCGCCCTTGCTGTAGAACAACACCTGCAACATGCACATACTCTGTTGTTTCTCCGCATCGGCTGTTTTTGCCAATGAGGCGGGGATGGCAACCTTCACATCTGCCGCTGCCTGACTACCTAACTGCTATATCTGCATGTTTTTTTTGGAATACTTAGATAATTAACTAGTGAATGCTCTGAATTTTACTTGATGCGAGAACTTGCGTTGGAGGCATAGCTTGATGGCACAGCAGTTCACAATGCTCTGCTTTAAATGTTCATGTTCTGAACTTTTTGGGTTGAGCAGATTAGTTAAGAGTGGATTGCTCCAAATAGGTTAGCTGAATTTTGTTCTACTGCAGGAATGCTCTGAATAAATTTTGTAGACTTGATATTTGGATTAAACCCGTTATTTTCAAGTTTGTATATTTCTATGCCTCATTGATATGCTTAAATATGACACCCCTCACTTATAACTGTTGGCTAACAATAGGCATAATAAAGTGAGGTTCTTATGAAGCATTTTATTTCTTCTTTAGATAATTGTATCTCACTTAGAGTCATTTATGAGTGTAAATCACTTAGATGATTTAATCTTTTTTTGCAAATATCCAGGTGGCCATGGGATGCCTCCCTAGATGATGGCCGTGGGTGATGGATATCTGTTGATGGGGAGGCCTAGAGAATCTGCAGCACTTTGTCAGCTTGATTCGATATGTGGCGCCGGAGTCGTCCTACTCGCGGGATTCGGGCAAGGGTCGACCCACATCGTTAGGCCTGATCTACATTGTTGGTGTTGTTGTAATCTTTTATTTGTTTTTGTGTATTCTACCAATATATCGCATTGTGTATGTTGATTAGATAGTTGTTGTAATACTAAATCTTGTTCAAACATTTCTCGGATGTTCATACATCTTTTACTCAAGCAGTCTGGGACTAAGAACAATCAATTTACTCATTTACTCAAGGAAGGTGGATCAAGAAAAACATAAAATAATTTATTTACTAAGATAAGACTAGGGTAATTTTTGTTGCTAAATCAAAAGTTTATACTTCTAACTTGAGAATAATTTCTTTACTGATAGAAGGTTGGAGCAATCAAATCTTAAGTAACTATGTTACTAATTAAAGTTTACTGGTAGTTTTATCTTTCAGTAAAACAATTACTAAAAAGTCAAACTTTATGGTACAATAAAACCGCAAGTAACTTTGTTACTAATTGAATATACAGATAATGATAGTAACTGAGTTACTCAATCACTCCTATCATTTCTCCACGTGGTGTTCCTGCGACCCAGAGTGGTTTTGTGTGGGGGCTTTTACATGAATATTAAATTGTTAACTTGTCATTAATAACGGTAAGGAACTCTTCGTAAAATTGTTACTCACAAGCATACCGGAATGGTTACCACACAAGCACTTAAGTAAATAAATTACTAAGATGACTACCATTCAGTAAATAACATACTAATATGTTTACCTGTCAAAAAAAGGTGCGGTATGGATTCATTATCCAATTTTCACGAATAATAAATATGTTACTGATAGTGTATTGTACTATTGATAAGGCCTTAGTAATCGTTTTACTATATATGATTTTGAAACAGGGATTGGGGTGTGGGGTGGGGCGCCTGGGGGTGGGTGGGGGTGCATACTGTGAGGAGAGTGTTTTAGTTATAGCGCACCCCATACGCGGTTTAGTGCATCCCTATATATATATATATATATATATATATATATATATATATATGATGATTATTTACACATTTTTACAGGATCCTCACTTTAAAACAATACCTGGTTGCTGCACGGGCATCTTTTATGCAAGTGGTTGCTCTTCCTGATAAGCAGCATTCTCTTGAGATGACCACTGTGGGGTGCCTCTTCCTTTCAACATGGATCCGTTGTTTCACGGACGCATTCTCAAGGGGCATGAGCTGGAAGGGAGATTTCACGCTGGATGATTTCAAGATCGTGGATGGCCACGTTCGGAGGATCAAGAAGCCCAAGCGGTCTTGCTGCAGGGAGGAGATGCAGGACGATGTGAGCAAGTTTGTGGAAGAGATAGAGCGTATCTTCAGAAACGATGACAGTCGACTCATCTCAAAGCACCCACCCTACTTCAGAGACTTCATCTATCGTCTCAGGAACATGGAAATCATCTCTGATGCCCTATCGCCTCGGCATAAGCTACTCATCGAGTCACACATGTGCTTTATGACTTCTAGCTCCAGGGTATCATTCATAATTAAACTCTACTGCAAGTACGAAGGTGCCAATGAATCTGATGAACCCAAGTGGGCGACTGCAATACAAGATGCTCGTAGTTCAAGTGAATGGCGCTCAACCGTGTCTCGAGTGATCATCTTTAAGGACCTTATTGTTAGAGCTGACAAAGCTGAATCACCATATGGATCGACAAGGTTTGAAGCCTTCAGGCTTGTTAGAAATGCAGCCATGCATGCTGCAGAATATCGATTCGATGTAAGTACTGGTTATATATATTACTGTGCAATTGATCGATTAGTGTTTTTATTATTATTCTCTTGCTAACTTTCTGGTTAATTTGCTGTGCATGATACAATTAAACAGAGTACAGTACTCCCTCCAGTTCCTAATTTGTTGACGTTTTAGACAGGATTACACATACCAATGAGTGATTAATTAGTGTACCTACTTCATGTTTTACCCCTAATAAATACGGTTTTAAGGCATACCAAATCATAACCTGCTCTTGGTTTGAGTGGCCATCTCATGCGAAAGTGAAGCTACCAGTCCTGAGTTCGATTCTTGGTGGCCACATTTTTTTGCATGGCACTGTGGATGCATGACTGTTGGCATGCATGCACTTTTTTCAGGCGTTCACGTGTGCAGTCGCCGGGAAAGATTTTTCACTCGCGCGCTGCTAACAAAAATTTTGCCAGGTGCGTTTGCCGCCAATAACTCAGATTTTGGCGCTGGTTTGCAACAGAATCCCCTTTGCCATCTCCATCTATTTATGCTGTGCAATACTAGCTAGTTTGACGCTCCAACTCCCTACATATTCCATCTGTTTAACATGAACTTGAACATGGAGCCATGACCTGCTCCATGGCGAAAATGGCGAAAGTAGTACAAGGAGGCGAGTAGAAGGCAAAGAGCCAACAAGCAGACATAGAAAAAGGAAATTACTCAGCGCGTGGGAGAGCAATGGTTGAACAGGAAACGAGAAGGCAAAGCATACATGACGTTGGAAATAATGGGAGTAGTAATGGCCGGCTGCATGCATGCAGGGACAAGCAGGTCCAAGATGCACCAAAAAAGCTAAAACGTCAAGAAATATCACACAATGCTTCAAACTAATTTCAAACTGGAGGGAGTAGTAGTTAAGATTTCTTTCTTTGTTTGACGTTGTTTGTTTGCTTCTCTTTTTTTTTTCTTTTCTTGCAGGGTAGAAGGAATGCAATAGTTGAGAGGTTTCCAAATGATAGTGGAATTGAACTTATGATACCTTGTCACTTCGAAGAATTTATTCCCCACATTGTTGCAAACATAATCAAGGAGGGAGTTGACATCACTCAGGAGTATGATATAATTAATAAACTTAGTAGTAGAAATAGTATTTTTAGTCAATCTTATAAATTCAAGTCCTGACATAGTGACATGTCATAACTTGTAGCTTGTCGGCTTTTGCTGTGTGCACTGGTTGCCCCACATGTGCGTTACTTGCTCAAGAACAATCATAGGGTACGTATCATCTACGAGTATTACTACGTACTGCATTTTTCATCATATATTTGTGTTTTTAGTGGATTCAGCAAATATTTGTTGAATAACTACATGTGTGCCCATGATTAACATCAGATATTTATAATGTTCCAAAATAGTTATTTTTAGATAATCATTTTTTGGCAATGTTTACTGAATGGATGCATGACACTCTGTTTTGTTCAACGACCCATGCATAAACACAATTTAGGGAGTTTTACCTTTTCATTCAACGACCCATGCATGACACTCTGTTTCGTTCTCCCTGTCTTTTAATTTCATCTATGCATCAGTGTCCACAAGCTATTAGTACTATGTGTTGAAGATATTATACTTGCCGTCTGCATTTATATTCTTAACTGGAGTAGTACTTATAAAACAGCTAGCCCTGCACGCACATATGTATACGTACTGAGGCAAATATCTCTGCCTTCTATCAAGTTGCACTAAAACATAGTAGTATAAGCAAACTGACTGGTCTAGCTTAGCTTCTTGCTCCCTAAATTAAACATATAATCGGTCGGTCGATCTGATTTAATTTCTGTCGAGGAGATGTATGTGAAATCAACGTCATGATTAATATTTGTGATGAACAATTGGCTGTGCAAATGATTTTATCAATGAATTGGTTTGAAAAGATGTGTGGATGTTGGTGTGAGCTGCGTGTGATTAATGTGGGTCAGATTGTGATATCTGTGCCTAGAAACGGTTGTTTTGTCTGATTTTGTGCAGGTGACTTGAGGTCAGCCTTAGTCAATGGTGAGGACCGGGGCTATGCTCAGGGAGGAGTAGAGGTCTAGTGCGGTCGGGATACCATGTGAGAAGGTTACTAGAGTCTGGATTCTTGGAGGACAACTTCGGTCAACGGTGGGGATCGGGACTAAACTCAGGGAGGAGTTGAGGTCCAGACGATCAAGGATACCGGGTGACGAAGTTGGATACAACATGGCATACGGTGGATGGACATCGTGTAGGAGAGATCTTCGTAACGGGCTTCACGAGGTGTGCGTGCAAGCGTCGGTGTTCGCGAAGGTATTGGAGAAGAGTATATGGTGCTATAGTACGGCATGGTACTGTAGCATGCATATATGTGTGATTGATCGTGTCTGTGATTGGCTGGCATATGGTGCTACAGTACGGGCGGTACTGTAGCATGCATGTGTGTGTGCGTTCTGTGCAAACAGGTAGCAATGCAGTGGCTCGGTTGGATACAGACCGTGTCGGCCTGGAGGGCAAGGTAGAGAGGCCGAGTTGGTGTCGTCCCGTGCGATGGAGACCGAGACCGAGCCGGTACAGGAGATGCGTGCGGCTGTAGTTTGAGAGAATTGTAGTTTGGTTTGGTAATTGAGGATAGAGTTCTACTGTGACTAGGAGTTGTTCTACTACTTTAAGTAGGAGGTTTTCGGTATAAATAGAGAGGGAGAGGTAGCCTCCCGGTATCGCTTTTTTATCGTTTTGAGAGCAATTGAGTTGATAGTTTAGTTAGGGTTTCGAGTTTAGTCGAGATTTTTGTAAGGAGTGCTGTTGTTGCACTTTGTAAACACAGAGAGAAGCAATAAAGTTGTCATCTACTTTGAGCGTTTTTCGATTTGTGTTTCTTCGGATTCAGGCGGCAGCGTGTGAGCAATCCGACCGGCGGCGACAGGACTATGTTGAGATTTCCATCGATTTGAGGGTAACTTTTATTTCCGCTAAAAGTTTTTGGGTTTTTGGTTTTCCCTACTATTCACCCCCCGGTAGGTTTGGTTGCTTGTGTTCGATCCTACAATGTATATATGCCTCCTAGTATATACTTCCTTCGTCCTATAATATAAGGGATAGTGGGTGATGTAAGTGTGTATGCTGGGATTAATGGTATAGGAACTTGTAATTAGACTGGAAACATTTTTTTTCCTTGAACGGTCACTGGTAACATGTTTGGAGTGGCTATCTTTCTTCTCGTTTGCCTGCATGCTCCTTGGTTAATGCGATGATAATGGAGATCACCCTTGGCTAGCTATAACTTCACTTGGAGTTCTTTTAATTTAGGAGATGTAGGCCCAATGGGATCATACAAGCGAAGCAATTAGCAATGTAGTATAGATCATCTTTACAATTAATTAATAATATAAGATCGGGAGCGTAGCGTATAGATCAACATGAATATAAGTAAACATTTTTTTCTTTGGTTAGTACTGTTGGAATTAATGAATGGGCCTTAGCCCACTCGAAGATTAATTC